GACATGTGGGGGCGTGTTAGAACGAGCCGTTTTAGGTAGGCGTGGCTGACTCTTAACTTTTATAAAGAATATCTCTTAGGATTTGAGACTTTAGTCTTTGCAACTTTACAGATCTTCTTTATGCACCAAGAGCTTGTAACACTTCAAAGAGAAAGGAAAAATTTAAATCGCATCATATGACCCCTTTAAATTAATTTCTATATTATACATAATTTGGGTAGTAAAACGTGAGAATTTGAGTAAAAACTATACAGTGTAAGTTAAATTAAGTAGTTATTACATATAGTAAATTTGGTAGTAAAACAAAAATTCTAAGAAAATTTTACAGTTTAAGTTTAATTAGTTATATAATTTGGTAATAAAATGTAAAGTGTTGCACATTGTGGTGTAGAGATGAGTATGTGTACAACTGAATATGTGTATTTTGTAAAACACTAGCACCTGTTTTATATCACTTAATTAGAAGCATCACAATGACTAAACTCCCTCATCTGTTACACAAGGACTTCAAATTTTTTTATTTTAAAGTGCATAGTTAAAAATCAAAACGTGTAAATAAAAGCTACTTGCATTTTTACAACACTTTGCTGTAAGTGTGTATCATCGGCTAATCGGCTAGCAGTTCTATACACACACACACACGATCTTCATGAAAACTTGAACACTTGGGGCAAATAAAGGAAATATGTCATGTACTGTAAATAGACAAGTGATCAAATACAATGACCACAAGTGTGGGCATTTTTATGGGCCCTGTGTGTTCATCCACACTTCTTAAGTCAATATTGCTCAAAATCTTTTGCACATGTGACTTTTTTAATGCCAAGGAATGTGCGAACAAATCAAGCAAGACAATAATGTTACATTTTCGGCGAATGCGTTGTAAACCATTCTAAGACCCTGCACTTCTGTCTCTTCAGGACATGGCGCCCCTGGCCATGAGCCCAATTGCCCATATGGTTACTCAGACCCTGTGCTTGGCATGTTCATGACAGTTCATCAGAGACGTATTGATGTCCGATTAATTAGTGTCTCAGTGAATAATTTCAGTTTTGGACTGTTCTGTTCAACCCACAAAGCTGTCAGTTAACTACAGATGTAAAATAGTGTATAGTCTTCTATTATAATTCTTTATGGTGCTGTGTGTCTTTTTGAAGCCTAAAAGCTTATTGCAATTGCATTTCTTCAGAATATCATGTTTTATGTTGCACGGAAGAAAGAAAGTGCCTAAAGTGAATGGATTTTGTTTTCAATCACTCCTGCAATCTAGGTGTAAGAGAAAGACTGTGTTGAGAGGACCAGACACAAATATGAGTTCAGCAAAGACAAACTGAGCACTGCCACACAACGACAGCCCTCTGTGCATCTCCACTGAACCCTGAAGAGTGTTAACAACACAAAAACAACTGAATGAACCTCACACACGCTCTCTCTTACACACAAGCAGCAAAAATGTGATAAAGTAAATCTTATCTGCCTTTTAATAATGCAACAGTCTATCTTGAAATAATCAGTCAAGCCATATCCAATTATGACAAGATCATACTTTCAGTGTTAAATCTAATTACACAGAGAGCACACACAAACCACTTCAGTAAAGGTGTTTGTGAGCCAGCCTGCTGAGCATCAGCTAAGGCTGATGACATCACAGCAGATTTACACACTAAAGCATTATGGGTAGGTGGTCTTTAAAGTACCTGATTCAGCTTGACCTGTGCTGCCCAGGCAACAGTGGATTGCCTGAGGTCAGCTGTGTCAGCGTGCACTCACACAAGCAGCAACGAGGCTTGAGCTCACCAGTAATGAACTTAGTCTTCAATCTGATTACAATTCTTTACTAAATAATGCAATCAATACATCACGAAATTTGATATTTGCTTATGATTATTGAATAACAGTTCTGAAAATGATTAGTTCTTTTTGTATTAATGTATGCAGTACTTTAAACATCTTTTAATTTAGCATAGGGGTGTCGCGTTATTGACAACAACCGTGATATTCAAATCATGAAATATCGACATCGTGTTAATTTAGGGTATGACGATATACCGGTATTGGCGATAACCACAATATTTAAAATGAACAGGACACTTATGATAAAACGAC